ATCGATTCAACACCGCCTATAACGGAGATTAGGAAAGTGGCAACAAAGGGAAGTTGGAGAGACAGAAAATATATATAAGACAAGTCGTGAAACCGTGTGACTAAAACTGATGGGATTATGGGCAATAATTTCTGCTCAAAACGTCATCCAGTTGTTAATACTGAATCACTGTGTGACATTTAGAGATGAACTTATCTAATATGGAATTACATTCTACCACCACAGTGCCCAAGTTCTACACTTACATTAATTCTACCATTGAACCACAGATACATCAAAGTACAACATGAAAAATTCAAAACATACATGTTTATCATAACCTAGGTCATCTTTTAATTTCAGTAACATTGCTATATGTAAAAATAATTTGCTCATTTAAAAAATGTTATGTCAGATTCTCGAAATAATAATAATCGTTACATATGCACGGTAATTAGTAAATACTAATAACAGCGATAAACAAAAAGTTACCTAGATTTGTAATATGCATCATTGTAGAGTTTATGTTAAATTCTTATTGAATATCAGATTACTCTGAATTCCAGTGAAAATGTTTTTTCTGAATGTTTTTTTAAAAAAAATGAACGAACTGAGTCGATTTTACTAAAGTTACATTTTTGTGGTGTACAAACAATAAATCACAAGTCAGTGTCATAAATAAGTTTTGGCATGCATAACCCTCAAAACTATTAGGTACTAGTGAGTAGTATAATGATGTCCATTCACACAATGTCCCAGAGCTCACAGCTATAGCATAGAGTTATATTTACTTTATCTAAAACCGCCAGAATATAGGGATAAAATTCAAGACATTTTTACTACTCAAGAATAAACATCATTTTAGATTTGTAGTCACTTTTATTCATAATGACGACTCCACAACCTTTATCAGGTTTCGTAATAATTATATTAGAGTTTTCCCGTAGCTCTTTCAAGGCTTTGAAATGCTGGGAATTTAAAATACTTTTCTCCTTTGGGTTGTTGTTTAAAAACTGGTCAGCTATACCCATCATCTTGGCCTTAAACCAACCCCGATCTTCATCGGATGTTGCGGCAAGATGTTTCAGTTGGTCATATAAGTTTTCAAACTCAGAATGGATAGCTAAGTCCGTAAATTGCGTGCGAGGAACACAAAATTTAAGTCCAAGGGATAAAGCTTCTTTCTGATGAGTAGATAGAGTAATATCAGAAAGATTTGTAACATACTTATCAGGAGTCACCGGAAAATGATCTACGCGGTTTCGATCATCAGTTGAACTCTTCAACTTATTTTGTATATTTGTCTTTGTTTTCTGAGTAACATCTTTACAAAACTGAAGGAATTTCATGTGGCATATTATTGATAATTCAGATAAAATAAGTGACGCATCGGTATGAAGAACAAGTAGTCCTTGTAACGTTTGTCTAACATTTTCGATATGTGACTTTGTAAGACGAACAAGATTAGAGATATTTGGTTGTAATATTACTCTATCTACTCATCAGAAAGAAGCTTTATCCCTTGGACTTAAATTTTGTGTTCCTCGCACGCAATTTACGGACTTAGCCATCCATTCTGAGTTTGAAAACTTATATGACCAACTCAAACCTCTTGCCGCAACATCCGATGAAGATCGGGGTTGGTTTAAGGCCAAGATGGTGGGTATAGCTCACCAGTTTTTAAACAACAACCCAAAGGAGAAAAGTATTTTAAATTCCCAGCATTTCAAAGCCTTGAAAGAGCTACGGGAAAACTCTAATATAATTATTACGAAACCTGATAAAGGTTGTGGAGTCGTCATTATGAATAAAAGTGACTACAAATAAGCAATAACTTCAAGTGACAACTGATTGGACAAATTTACTCAAATAGAAATGACGGCAACGCGGTCTAAAGGTGGAGAACAAAACCAAAACATTGTTGTTTCATGTCTTTGACAAGTTGTGCAAGGAGACGATTGAATGTTATCTAGTCATGTTTCATAAATGCTGCTAACATGAATTTAATCCGTTTTTTTTCTTGCTTTCCGAGAGGAACAGAGGAGGGCTTCAAGTTTGAGGTTTTAGGTTTCAATAACGGCTATGTTCTTTTTAACGGGGTGAGGTTACTAGCCCCACCTCTAGCCTTCCCTCTTTGTTGTTGGAAATCAATCGAAGGAACACAGGGTGTTTGGAGAACACTCTACTTCTGTGTTAATAAAACAGAATATCATTCAACCTTATGATGCAATCGTGGTTAACACAACATTTCAATAAAGTTAGCGATGTCGGAGCTGGCTGCAACCCATTGTTTGTAACAGGATAAACGAAGTTTGAACCGCAGAAGTAGGATAATATTAAGAAAATTTAAAATCCAAAAGGGAAAAAACATGACAACAGCTCTGTTTTACAACAATATCGATTTAGTCAATACTCATCATAACCGTTAGTATGATTGTCAGAACCAAAGGATTCATAACTGTGAGCTGTACTGTATACACTCAAATTATCTATTGTTTTACGGTTTTCCACTCAAATACCTTTTCCCATAGAAAGACAGTTGTTCATTTAGCATTCGCTGTATCACTTTTCAACTCTACTTTAGTTTACATTGTAGATTTTGGTCATAAACTCATATCAGTTAGAGAATCATAAAAGGGCAGCGATCAATAGATAGCAGTAGGGATTAAGCTCAAGGCGATCAGGTTATCAGGTCAAGACTTTGCAATTTAGCCAGTGGGTCGAAGTTCAATAACTCGTGAACTCCAACTTCTGTTATTTAGCCATATAACGTTACTACGAACCTCATAACTGACTTGGTCGACCCTCCCTACCCCCCCCTTGGTTGTAACTTCTCACTGGAACTGCTTGAAGTCGATATATTATCCATACAACACTCTTTTTGAAAACTGGGTGTACACAGGACCTAATAAACGACTTTCTTTTTACTTACAAACAACTTGTCTAAGAATAGATTATTATCAGGTAAATTAAATTAATCATAGGGTATGTTGAAAGTTGACTGGATGAAATGAAATTTGCATGATCTATTAAATCTTTATATAACGTGTATAAAAAAACGAAAGACCAATTTCATACATTTATTCCCCTTAATGAATTTGAACAAAGCAAGAACTACAGTTTTAGCAGAATAAAATGGTACCATCTTTTATTTCGTTGCCTTCTCGTCAGCTGCTTACAGGGCAAAGACATTATTAAATGTATCCACAAAAACAATTTTAACATACTTGCACAGAGTTCATTTTAAACAAAAATCAATCGATCAATATACGCATACACTAATATTATATACATATATATATATGCAATATTAAACACTATTCCGAACAATAATAATCATACACAATGAAAACTTTTCAGCATCTCGCATTCGGATGAAAAATATCCAGTTACCAGGGCAAAGAAAGACTGATAACCGCTTCTTTCTGAACGCATAACTCAGGTTTCAGGCGCTTGATGGAAATGGCTTCAGCAAACTTAAGGAGAATTGAGCTCTTTTGCTTACTGATAATTTTGAACGACTTTTCGACGTCCACCTCATGACCCGTGTCGAGGAGATGCCTGGCGATGGCACTGTTTAAAGCATTTGTTCCCTTTAGACGTAAGCTTTTTGGTACATGTTCAGAAAATCGTAGATATGCTCTTCTTTCTGTTCTTCCAATGTAACTGCTCCCGCAGATACATGTAAATTTGTATATACAGTTGGAGTTAACATGAGAAGGATATCTATCGATTTTTGATTGCATCAAAGAGCAAGTTGTTCGATAGACGGGAACGAGCCTAGCTGCAGGATAGGCTATGGCTAGTGATGTGCTCAGCCTTCTGTTGATCATCACTGAAATGTTTTCACCTTTATAATCAAGCTGAAAGTAGATCGGCATTTTTCTTTTCTCTTACTGTGATTTGTTTTACATTTTTGACTTCAGATCTTCCATACTTGTTGATGAACCTTTGAGGGTACCCATTGCTCTTCAATGTCTTTTCAAGAAACTCAAATTCTTCCTCTAATTTCTTTATAGAGCATATTCTCCTCGCTCTATAGTACAGAGTCTTGACTAGACCACGTTTTATTAGTGTATGCGTATATTGATCGATTGATTTTTGTTTAAAATGAACTCTGTGCAAGTATGTTAAAATTGTTTTTTGTAGATACATTTAATAATGTCTTTGCCCTGTAAGCAGCTGACGAGAAGGCAACGAAATAAAAGATGGTACCATTTAATTCTGCAAAAACTGTAGTTCTTGCTTTGTTCAAAGACCAATTTCTTCTTCAATCTATATGATAGGCAGGCATTCAAAAAGAAATCATTTTACCTAAATGCCTATATTAAGGCTTAAATTACTAATACACAAGTGAATTCGTCCTGTCTTTCAAACGAGATAGACAGACAACTGATGAATAAAAATTAAAACAAAAATTCATGTCATGTAAAACAAAACTCTGTAATTCTTCTACAGTTGTAAATTATATAAATGATTGACAAATCACAGTTCCAAAAACACACACACACACCCTGCTGATGAATCCCTACTATCACAACAGGACACCACCAACGCCATCACCATAATCATCATCAGTACATTGGGTAAAACAATTAACAAGAAATATTAAATAACTACTCAGTATTCAGCATAAAACAGCCTACATTTTAATCATCTACACAACATTCATATTCCATGTCCTACATTCTTGCTTAAAAGAGTGACTACATTAGTATTTATATGTGAACTAAGTGTATGTAAAATATGCGTAGTTTATATCATTGAAGCATATACTTTAGTTCAGTATACTACAATGCTTTCTTTTTTTTGGAATTGTTAATTAGCTATTCTCTTATTAAAGTACACTACATTCATTAGTTCATTAGTGTTATGTAATAATACTAAGAAGAAAAGAATATTATCATTTTCTTTTCTAAAAATACTATAGTTTTGGGAAACTGAATGAATTTGTTCAGCATTATTTAAAGAGAAGAAAAATTTAACATTGAAATAGTATCATTAAAAAAAAATAAACTCACTGATTTACTATGTCCATTAGTCATTTTATCAGTTGAAACTGTAAAGAAAAAGAAAATCAATATAAGGTTCAAAGTGTTAAGCAATTATTTCGATCTAATATACTTATACGTCGGTGGTATAGCGGTTAGGACGCTCGCCAACCATGCTTATGGTTCGGAGTTCAATACCCGACCGACGCACTCCTTTACTTCGCTAAGCCAGAAATAAAAGCTGGTAAAGAGGAAAGGTTGGGCATGAGGCTAGCAACCCTATCCTGTAAAATAAACACTGCTACAGAAACTTCAAGCCACTAGCTTGAAGCCCTATGTTCCACTGGGGAACGTGAAGGAAAATATATATACTTATACTGAAGAAATTTTTTTATGTAAGCACCGAGATCGATTAAAACAGTAGACAATCATGAGGAATAAATAACAGTTTGTAAAAAGTTCATAGGTGGATAGAAACTTTGAATTGTGTTCGTGATTACACTTCTTGACTAGTAACAGTGATCGTTTTGTTGTACTCTTGTTACTAATGTAATTTTTGATTACCTAATGATGTAGCGCATCATATCTGTTGTAGTCACATACGGTAGACAAATTTTAAATAAATTAAGCTAATATCTATTGAAATTCTTTCTTAAATTTCATGTTCATTCATTCCAGCGGATTAGAATGCTCTGTCGGCGTTGACATATCGTTTCCTAGTAACGATACTCTGACAAGGCCTTGAGAAGAACGTAATGCTTTTTGGTTGACGGTGGCTAACAGTGCAGCCTAAGACGCACATTTGTCCTATTTTGGGATCCATTACTTGTATTCCAGTTAGTTGTGATACTGTTACTGAGACTCGAACCCTACACCCATAGTTTCAAATGCCAGGGTGTAATCCAGTGGGTCACGAGAGTCGTTACTTCTACAACGGCTATCGGCTGTTACTTTTCTGTGATTCTGCTGATGTGTTGGCTAGATTCAACTATCAATGTGATCGCCATCATTCACAGGGATACAAGTTAATCCAGATGATGAAACCCCAACCGGGACGAAACATGAGTCCTAGGTTCCAGTCTTAGTCTTCAATCGATTCTCAATAGGATCATGGGTGAATAATGCTGAAGAGTCTCAAGCTAGGGAGAAACAGCTCTCTAGTGTTTCCTAATTTTTTCTGATTTTCTAAGTGATGTCATTTCATGATCTGACTTGAAGTTAGTCAAATCCACGTAAATCAACACTTGAAAATTCTCTTGTTAATTAGTCTGAGGTAATATGTACACCGTCTTCTAACATGCTTTCCACTTGAATTTATATTATTACTATTCTTCCCTCGGGTTCTGAGTGGAACATAGGTTTTCAACAAAACATCTCCACTTTGTTCTGTTTTCTTCTGTCCTCTTCAGCTGGGTCCACAACCACACATAATTTCTCATCTCGTCCTCACACGGTCTCCTCCATGTCACCCTCAGACGCCCACTCGTCGTTTCCCATTCGGGTTCCACTCAGGTGATTGCCTGGCGCGCAATGTCATTCGACGGTCTTCTCAGTGTGTGCCCTATCGATCTCCATTTTCTCCTGCATATTCGTTGAACGATAGGTTCTTGGTTAGTTTGTTCACATAGTTTCTTGTTGCTAATTCTTTCTGCCCTGCCATTTGATCTTCAATATGGAGCCAGTGAAGGCAGCTGTTGATAAAAGTCTGTAACTTGATGGAAATGCTTTCTGTGACGCGAGCGCCAAGTTTCTGACCCATACAGAAGGACTGCCTTAACTAATATTTGTGTTGAATATCCGAATTTCATTCTTTATGCTGACTGAGTGCAGAAGATTTCCACACTGATTTCAAGAGTAATGAATGCCGGTCTTGTCTTTCTGATTGTGGTTTTGACATCCTCATCCGGGCCCTCCGCCTGTAGTTGAAAAGATGTTTCCTAGATAAGGGAAGGAAGTAACCTCTTTCAAATCTCTCCTGTTGATGGTGATTGGTGCTGGTTGTTGTTGTTGTTGCTGTTTCTGTTTCTGTTGGTTGGTTATCTTCATCACCTCCGTCTACTCTGTGTTCACTTGAAGTCCTGTCTTCGGTGGCTACTTCTTCTGCCAACTTGCTGGTTTTCTCATGTAAGTCTTCGAATTTATCTGACATTAGACATAAATCATCTGCGAAATCCAGATCTTCTAGAGTTTTCTAATCGGTCCAGAGTATTCCTGTCTTCTCGCTCCCAAGCACAGTCTGACGCATAATCCAGTCCACCATAATTATGAATATCATCGGTGATAGTAAGCAGCAGCCTTGTCTTACTCCTGTATTCACTTCAAAGACTGCACTGAGTTTTCTGTTGTGGATCACTCGACATATGGTATTGTCATATAGCCAGCTGTTGAATGAGGTTGATAAAGATTTGGGGCACTGTATGGTGTGAGATTAATTCAACAGCCAAATAAACAGCATCATAGATAAGTTACTGACAAATTTATCTTACTGCATACAGTTTCAATTCATCAGCAATATACAAAAATGTACCTGTCACAGCCACAGCTGATGAGACAGTATGCTCGACTGCAATCAGCAGTGATTATCTAACTATTTACAAAAAGATTTCAAAGTTTCCGGAGGTTAAGAAATCCAACCAAACGAGATATTACACCAACACAAAGCATACTTGTACAATCAAAAGTACAATGCACGATAACTCCATAATATCAATACATCAAGAATATTCACCACTACGCTGTAGCACATCTTCAGTCATATAGTCAAGCAAGTTAAATATGTATATAAGATCATATGCATAAACCAGAATTCGGATACTATCATCCTATTATGTTCAAATCGTTTAGATAAATGACGGATAACTGTAACATCATTGCTGTTATAGTTATCTGAGTTAAGGTGCCAATATTCTCTCTCGAAGCACGAGTACACTACTATAGTATACAATGCATAGAAATCCTTTATTTGCGATGTATGCCTTTTCATCGCATTGTACCAGAAGAAACTGTAAATCACTGCATGAAGCATAAAGTTTCAGACTATCGATTTAAGGAGGATGACACGCAAAATCGTGAAGCGTTCCATATTTTTTAGACGAGGATGTCAAATCGAGAATCGGGAAGGCGAGAAACACATTCATCAACCTGAAACCAATCTGGAAATCTTCGTCACTCAGCTTGCATCAACAACAAAATTCGGATTTTCAATACAAACGTCAAGTCAGTGAGTTCTTCTATACGATGGATCAGAAACTTGGCGGGTCACAAAGAATATTTCCAACAGCCTGTTGCAGACCTTTATCAACAACTGTCTTCGCTGGCTCTATACTGAAGATCAGATGGCCGGCCGGAAAGAATCACCAACAAGAAACTATGGGAACAAACAAAACAAGAACCAATCGCCCAACAAATACGCAGGAGAAAGTGGAGATGGATTGGACACTCGCTGAGGAGGCCACTGGGTGACATCGCGCGTCAGGCCATAGCTCGAGTGGAACCCGAAAGGGAAGCGGCGAGTGGGACGTCCAAAGGTGACATGGAGGAGATCGTGTGAAGAGGAGTTGAAACAATATGGACTAACATGGATGCAGGTGAAAAGTACAGCAGAAGACAGAAGCAAGTGGAGACGTGCAGTTGAAGCCCTATGTTCCACTAGGAACCCAAGAGAACCATAACAATGATAATAACATTTTATTATTCGTAATTGTAAATCAACGATTATTAACAGACCAGTGAATTTTGAAAGTCAACTCTGAATTAGTCAACGGATAAGAGACAATGTCACTACAAAGTCCTTAATACCATTGACATTTAAAGTTTATCGATGATGTATGCATGTGTCACTCACTGCTGCTATGCTGAATGACACAGTACTTAAGTGCCCAATATTTTGGTGTTGATTGTCGGCAGTCATTAAAGCAGAAAGCCCTGAAGTAGGTTTTCATGCTGATTCGCACTAATCAACGACAACACTTATTTAGAATCTTGACTGCAAGCACCATTCTTTCTGGAATTCAGTGTGAAAATATAGAGAATCTGCAATCGATTTACTGTGAGACAAAGTCACAGAAAATCAATCAACCAATCACCAAATGGTTGTTATTTGCGTAACTCTTAAGCATTAAGTGCTGATGTAGTCTGCCAATAGAGTTTGCAAGATAAAAGCACTTAACTATGCGACATTGCAATCGATCTACTGTATTTTAGAGTTGTATGAAAAAAATCTATGATGTTGAATAAGTCTGGAATCTTTAGCTCAAGTATTTGGGGGGGGGTAGAAGTTTCCACTAATAGTAATCCTTACTTCATCTGATAGCCTAAAATGAAACTTGTAACAGCGTCAGAGATTTGAATTTTTTATACTGGAATCTAATTGTATAGTAGCGATAAATAATTCCCCGAAATTATTAGCCTACAACTTTCAGCATTCAGTACTAGGTGCTGACTTTCAATGTTTAAGTCGACTTGTTAAGATGAAGTTTCGCGGTCCATCATCCAGCTATCTTAAACTCTTTGGTGTGATGTTTATTTTCAAGAGTTGGTTTGTAAGGATTAGATTTTGTTTTTACGAGTTTGACCACGGATTGATATCGGTGAGAGAACCATTGAAAACCAGTAGGAAGTACTGGACAGCTGTTTCATTCTAGTTTGGGAATCATCGGCAATACGCACCCACCGCCATAGTTCAAATCAAGGACCTTCCGGTTACAAGGCGAGCTTGTATACCATTCAGCCACTGGGACCCGATTCAATGGGCAGTGCATGAATTCTAACTTCTACCAATTCGTGATTTTAGCGCGACGATGCACTGCCCATTGAATCGGGTCCCAGTGGCTGAATGGTATACAAGTTCGTCTTGTAAACGGAAAGTACTTGGTTCGAACCATGGTAGCGGGTGCGTACTGCCAATGATTCCCAAACTATGATGAAACAGCTATCCAGTACTCCCTGGTTTTCAATGGTTCTCTAACTTACATCAATCCGTCGTCAAACTGATGTCTATTTGTTTCTGGATGCACTCTAGCTAGCCAGACATCACTACCCCACGTTTTTGATCCCAAAATATGTCACGTGTTTCTTGTTCTGATTTAGCTTCAGAATAGTTCCCTGGTCGCCATAAGAGAAGTGAGTTTTTTGAGTTGAAGGTTAGACACTTGCACTTGTATATAAGCCTACATTGCCTACTCGTTGATATCCTTCATCTTCTAAAATATTTAAGTAATAAGTAGCATAATTTTCTTAGTCAAATTCCAATAACCTGAAATATAAACAGTTCAACCTTTACATTGACACATTGAACGTATGCAAAGGTATTCATTTGAAAAGTAAATTTCTTTGCACACTGATAAAAGTTAAGGAACCACTGCTAACAAACAAACACTAAGTAGTTTGTTACATTCTAATTTGCTACTCCACAACAGTCTTTGTCTAAGACAGTGTACGAGAATCTTAACACTCATGCAGTAAATTGCAGACCGACAGACTCTTTGATACCTAATTTCCGACAATTTTTCATAACGTATGAAGAACTGGGTCATGTTATATTCTGCTTTAAATTTCATCTCAACCTGATGCATGTACATAATCATCTCATCATTACATAATCGCAGTTAATTATCCTTATATCTTTCAACCTTCGAATGATGTTCAATCAACAAGTTAGAAGACTTGGATAGGAAATTGGTATGCTGTAATGTTAGTAAGCACTTCGTCTTTTGAGAAAGTATCAAATGATCGACAAGAAAGGTAAAGTTTGTTAACAAGTCTGACTTTGGTACTACAACGAGTGTCATTGGTTAATTCACTAGTAAACTTTGTTGAGGTAACATTTCACCAATTTCCTTTGGAAATCAAAATTTTTCAAATCACAATTGTGTTATCTGCTTGATACTGTAAATGGCAATCAAGAAAGAAAGCATAAATGCATGACGCCATATACTACTGATTGAGTGACATGAGTAGCTGGATACCCTTCACAACCAGAATTTGGGTGGTTTGAAAGGATTCGGCTCTCTGAAATGAGTCAAATCGGGTACATCACCGATGAGCCCCGGACGCCAAAGGAGCAAAATAGTCGTCCTCCATCTGGCAGGCAAGCAAGTGCTACTCCTTGGTGTCCAACTACACTTATGTTAACCAGTCAGTATTATATGGCGTCAAATACTTTAAGTCATTTAAAATATAAGTGAATAAGAGGACTTGGACAAGATATAGGCTAACAAAAAAAAATGAAAACTTACACGGACTAACCAGTGGACAGTCAATTTTCTTCACACCAGCCATACAGTTACTCACAGGGATTGAATTTGTTTCAAAGTAACTTTTTGAATATGGATCTACCACAAGCAGAGAGACTTTCATTGGATCAGTTAATATTCTCTGTACTACATTTTGATGTTGTTCAGCCACTTGAAATAAAGAACAACAACAAAAAAATTTAAGAATAAAGATAGTTACTGATTTCAAGAAACTTTAGTGGTGATCAAAATATTTTTTTGACAAATGAATGACACATATTGCTACAGAATTAAGTGTGTGTGTGTGTGTGTGTGCAACAATCTGTGGAGACAAAGTTCACTTTTTTCTAATGGTACTACTTGACTTTCACTCATGATGGCCCAGGTTGTGAAGCTCACTTTGTCTACTTCAACCTAGGCAACGGGATATTGTCATCAACCCTAACAGAACAAGTCTTTTCCATAGCCTGACAGATGAAAAACCATTTGCCGCATTACTAAGTAAGTTCTGATTGCACATACCTAATTCTAAGTCTAAAAGTTACTAAGCAACTTTTAGTCGCAAAATTTTCATGTAAAACTTGGTGACATTTCGGCAGTCTAAAGCAAAACACCTTAGTGAGAAAAAAAGAAAGAACGAATATATTGGCAGGATAATGTGAGGTGGTTTCTATTTCGCTGATTCTTTTCAACCGCGTGTATCCTTAACAATATCAAAATATAAGGTATAAAAGTAGACAAGTATCGCGCTCATGTCAACTCCAACTGCATTTACCAATTCACTTCCACTTGCAGCGGTAATTACATAAGAAAGATTGAGAGAAGAGTGTATACTAGACTTATCTGGGCTTATCTCTAAGTCTCCGTAAGAAAGGCAATCAAGTGTCCTCAAGTGCAACTGCCAGACACCTAATTAACATGGGACATATAGTGGAAATTAGTCAGGCTTTCAGAATAAAACCCTGTTTACTTCGTTTTGCAAAAGCCACTGCTATCAAAAGACTTCGAGTCAACTTCTGGAAAAACAGAATGATAGTGTGACTAATCTCTCATTATCCTGTCAACCGTAACTGTTTTTGTTCTGTTGTGTAATATATTCCACTTAATTTTGACTTTGACTCGCTGAGTTGAACTCTCTATTAAGTTCCCAAATTGACTTAATTGTTTGTCTATATCATAATTTTACCCTTTTTTTATTCACTTTCACCCTCTTGAACTCCTCATCATGTTATAAGGACGATATGAAGGAGATCGTTAATGGATGAGGTGAGAGCTAACAGGCAGTCGTTAAACCAGTAGTTAATAGGGTGAAATGGAGATGTGGTGTTGAAGTCATATGTTCCACTCTGGACCCAATGGGAAAAATAATTCTAATAATATGATAATTTAGTTTGTTAATGATTACAGACATGAGTAACTCGTCAATGCTACTAAACACGCAGCGTAGATCTGAAAATGTCATGTTGGTCAACTTTTGGACTGTTAAGAAAGAGCATACAGTGTAGTGGTACAGTTAAGCTCATTGGTTTATTTCAAACTTCATGGATATATTTCAAAAATCTTGCCCTAAATTTGTTGAAGTTGTTTTGAATTTCTGGACTGAGATGATCGGTCCTTGTGGACATGTCGACTCCTAGTAAGGACGCCTTGACAATATCTTGAGACAAAATGTGACATTACTTGGTTGGTGGCGGTAACCAGTGGAGTGCATGCCACACATTACTTTCTATCCTGGGTGTACCTGTATCCCAGTGAATGGTAGTGATTCCAATGAGACTTGAATCCGAAGGAGTTTGGACCGATGAGTGCTGGGTTCAAATCTCAAAGGGATCACCACCAGTCACTAAGATACAAGTTTATCCAGGTAGAAGCGGGCATCCTGAACTCTGCCGCTAGCCACTGTCAACTAGGTAATATTTCTCCTTAAACTTCAGAGGAATATCTTTTTGGGAGGTAGAAAAACAGAAAAAAACTTAGAGTGACAGATTTTCTGGATCAACTCCTAACATGGAATATATATATGCTTATTCTTTCATTAATAACTTAAATAACAGTTATGCACCTACTCTTTGGTGCAATCAAAAGTCAACAGACACCCTTTTCATGTTAACTCTAACTGTGCATACAACTTTACATGTATCTGAGGCAGCAGTTACATTGAAAGAACAGAAAGAAGATCACGCCTTCGATTTTCTGAACATGTACCAAAAAACCAGCATTTCAAGAGAATAAATGCCTACAATAGTACCATTGTCAGGTATCACGTCGATATGGGTCGTGAGGTGGACATTATGGCATCCTCTTTTTCTCAAGTTTGCCAAAGCAACCTCTATCAAACTCCTGAAACCCGATTTATGTGTTCAGAAAGAAGCAGTTTTCAGTCTTCTACTGGCCTAGTAACTGGATGTGTTTACTCTGTCTTTCATTTGACTATGTAACTTCTGACTTTAACCTCTCCACCCCTCTCCCACCTTCGCTATTGCGTAACCTTGCTTGTCTCTCGTTTCTATGATTTTCGTTGAACTCACCACACTGTTACTCAACTTAATTGTTACTTATCATCGCATTCACCTCTTGTCTCTATTACATAACTCTTTTGCCATTGTACCCAAGCATTTATTTTTTGTTCAAACTTGAACTTTCTGTGTATAAGCTATACAGGTATAATTTCTGAGCACTGTTTATTAAATTTGGAGTCTTCTATCAACTGACATCGAGTGAAATTTACAAGTATGTTAAAATTAATCTGCATATAAACTTCATAATTATTTTAGGCTGTACACAGCTGATAAGTAGCCGACGAAATAAACGATGGTGCAGTAATGGTAGAAGACAAAAGACTTGATAAAGGAATGTTTGTTGGGAATTTGGTATCACTATATATAGCCAAATTATGTACACCTTATCTTCAACACACAGATCTTCCGTGCTGTGCTACTTCTCGCCTTCCTTCATATTGTGTTTCTTTGTCTTCCTTTTTGCGTCTCCCATATTTCTTTGCAACGCTGAATCATTTGCTTTCTCTGACAGCAAATCTATCTCCCTGCTATTTGATTTTTTATGCCGATGAACGTCTGTTTGCATACTACGGGTAAATCTTATCAGTAACACATGCCACGGTACCATCTTATTCTGCATAAACTGTTGTTCTTGCTTTATTCAAATTCTTGTATTCATTTAGAATTCTTACGTAATTTCGTATTCTCTACTTTGTTCCTATGCGTGTCCTGAGTACAACTCAATCATCAAACTATTCATATTATTACGCAACTCTACCCAAAACGTAATAATTTTCACCTGTTTAGTTAAAATAACCATAACCAATTATATTTTTGTTTGACAAACTTAATGTTTACATGTATACAAAATAACTCATATATATTTGCGATCGTGCAGTTAAGAAAATGAATTCGCCAAAAATGGACTCTTCGTTGAACTACGTGTTTTGTTTTCATTATTCAAATTCATTGAGGGAAAGATAAGTGCTTGAAATCGTTGACAAGTACATTAAACTAAGTATATCACCTAGACGCCAAAATGTTTAAGAATCTGCATAGCATAGAACTAACCATCTATTTTTAAGTGAGTTTAACTTTTCCGTTTTCAGGATTTCATCATGAGCTAACATCGGTTAGAGAACCAGTGGGAAACCTGAGAGTACTGGATAGCTGTTTCGTCTTAGTGCTTGGGACTCTTCACAGTAAGTACCCACCACGAGGGTTTGAACCCAGGACCTCGCCATTACAAGACAAGCTCGTTGACCATTAAGCCACTGAGACCCGATCCAATGGCCAATGAATTCCAACTTCTGTTGATTGACGACATAGTGAGACCACTAGCCAGTGATCTCTGACGAAATCTCAGTGCGGATACAGAGGGCTAGTTTCGCATATGCCAGTTTACGTCGTCTCTGGCGTAGACGTGATATCTGACTATCGACCAAAGGGCGGGTGTACTGCTCAATAGTCCTGGTTATTGAGAGTGGAGGACATGAAAAGGCCGGTTAGCTGTCTTTGATCATATGTGCCTGCATTCTATCTCCTGTGTGAAGTGGTACAATAAGGTGAGCAATATTGAGGTCAGGCTTCGATCGAGTGAGTGCTAGGTAAGGAGAGGAAATCAACAGACAAGGCTGTGGAGCTAAATTGACTGAGATGGTTGGACATGTGTTACGTATGCCTAGTCATCACCTTCTTCGACAATGGGCAATGTTAGCTGATATAGGCTCAGGCTGGAAAAGAGCTAGCGGCCGTCAAACCAAAACATGGCCTCGCCACTCAATGAAATCTACAACAGTTAGTCTAGGCCACGTAGGAAGGTGTAGACTTCCTGGTTGGGGTCCTCGGGACGGTAAAAGCCAATGGTTGGAAATAATCGGTGAAATGGCTCAAAATCGTTCTCAATGGCGCAGATACATCCACTCCTTGTGACTTATGATTTCCAATTAAACTGTTTTGTTCTTTGTTATTACTATTCCTTTGTCTCACACCTCTGTTTACTGTCTCTAATATGCATTTCTCCTACTTTCTTCTCTTGCTTTGTGTTCTACATGGAGTGTGGCGGGGTGGGCTTGCTAGTTTCACACCCAACTTCTTTTCAGGGTATACTATTTATCAGATATTAAGTGTTATTTAAGAAAAATGTGCGGGCGGGCAATTGAACCCTGGACTCCGTACATATTGGTTGGCTGGCATTCTCTCACTGAACCACAAACGCACAGTTTAACTTTAACTGGAGATTATGTTGTATAAATGGAATGATGAAATTTTAATTACTTTCTTTTTAATATTAAACTGAAATTAAAACAACTAGTCTATCAATTAAGTGCTTAAAAATAATTTTCTAATATAGCTAGTTAGTTAGTTCAAAGTCCGGTTATATCAACAACCAATTATTTCTAACAGAAAATTAAACATAAACCGTTGCGTTTTTTTTCAAGAGACAATTACACACATTATTTCAAAGAATTTTTTAACTTTCTAAATTTAAACATTGTTTAATTTTATGGTTTTAATAATCAGTCTTATTTATCTCTATTACTCAGATTCCAACGCATAATTAATTATGTAGGTATAACTTTTAATTTTATCAAAGCACATATCGTATCATCCTTACAAAGCAGTTCACTCATTATCATGGCATTTATATATATATATATATATGCGTACATA